CTTTTTTCTTTTTTTGTATCAGTATGCCTTTATCTAACTCTGTTATATAAATTAATTTAAATAAATTAGGTAGTGTTCTATTTTTTAATAATATATATTTAGTGTAAATGTATTATATGCATATAAATGTATAGTATAACATGTATTCAATATATTTATCTTTAATTTTTATGTTGTCATCCTAATTTGGATTATTAATTCAAAAACCCACATTGATCAAATAACTATGCTCTAAACGCATTAAAAGTGCATGCCAAGGAAATGAAAACCAAAGAATAAGAGCATGATGCTAGTGATTCTTTCACAAATAACTACAAATGAGCTCACAGAGGTGATATCTTTTATTCCAGGGTCTTATTTTCTTTTTGCATGTATTGCAGGGTGCTGATAGCAGGCAGAAGCAGCGGGAAGCGACGGGCCTGGTGGAGAGGAGGCAGTTCTGTAGCTGGCCATGTAAATGTGGCGTCCGGCCGCTGTGTGCCCCTGGTGTCAGCTCCATCTTGGATGGCTGCGGCTGCTGCAAAACCTGTGCACGGCAGATTGGGGAATCATGCAACGAGAGGGACGTCTGTGACCCTCACAAAAGCATGTACTGTGACTTTTCCAAAGACCAGCCACGTTATGAAGTTGGCGTCTGTGCTTGTGAGTGAGCGTTTTATGAAAACCCCTAGGTGGTTGTTACAATCAATATCACAGCTTCTTAAAAATAAGAACATTTAGTTTAGAAGCTAAATTGTTTTTACAGAATACAGTGGTGTAATGAGAATCCTCGCACATGATATGATATATGCAGGGAGAAATTAGATAGATAGATAAGATAGATTTTCTTTATCAGATAGTTTTATGTAAATTGTGGCCATATTGTACTAACTGCCTCATTTTAATTTAGTTAGGAGGATTTTTTTAACCTCATGACCATATCTTAAATTAAGTTTTATTTTTTGTACGTAATAGTCAATCCTGCATATTTTTGCAGACATGATGGGGGTTGGTTGTGACCTGAATGGGGCTCACTATGATAACGGACAGGCCTTCCAACCCAGCTCATTCTACAAGTGCACTTGCATTGCTGGAGCCATCGGCTGCACTCCTGCCTTCATCCAAAAGCCGGCTGGAATGTTGAGTTCCGCTGCTCTCCAGGGCAGCTTGCCAGCAGGACTCAAGAGCAATCAAAGCCCCAAACACCAGCAGGATACCACCTACAGGACCATGTCAGGTGAATACTACCCTGTGTGAGACATTTAAAAAAAAAAAAGCATTCATAATGCATTACATAATTTGAATATTCTGAGAAAATAATTCTCTCCATCAGGGTTTGATTAGATGGAAACATGTTAGCATTTGATTTTATTGGTAAATTTTATTTTTGACCACCCACACAGGTTTAGTTACATTAGCAGAAACAAAAATTATTTTAGAGATGAAGAGGGTTATTACTAGGGATGTAACAATTCACTCAACTCAACTCAAAAGCAATATGATTGACGATACTGGTTTCACAATATGATTTTCTCACTTTTTTTTTAACAAAATGAGATTTAAGACAAATTATGAATGAAAAATTATTAATAAAACTAATTATTAATAAAACTAAGCTAACATTTTAAAAGAAATGCCAAACTAAATAAATAAATAATAAAAATAAAAGAAATCTCTTTCCATTTATAAAGCAATCACTGCATTTTAATCACAGTCCAAACAGAGATACTGTATACGCTACATGCAGCACGAGCAGTTTTTGATTTAAATTAGATTTTATAATTTCTAAATTTAAGCGAAAAACAGAATGGCCTGACTTTAGCTTTGTGAAACTATACTACATAATACATCTGAACGAAACACAAACAGCAGACAGGCC